CCAGGAATTGAGGCACGTTTCATCACTTTAAGTCATCATTTGAAGTATGAAATGTCCCTCGTTTCCTATGTTTGGACTAACACCTATTCCAAACACAATGCAAGCAAGTGACATGGCAAACATGTAATGTAACTACATGGCATACTTAATGCAATGCAATGCAATATGAACAACCTAACAAGGCTGATGACATGCGAATGATGCTAATGCATGCATGCACAATGCAATACAATAAGGGTAACTTATCAATTTTAGAAACATGCATACTCAATGCGAAGAATGACTTAGCATACACAATGCAATGGGGCAACATGGCATGCACAATGCAATGTAAGATGACATACTTAATGCAATGAAATAATATGGCATACTCAATGCAATATACATGGCATAATCAATGGACTTAAACCAATAGGGGTAGACCTCAGCCATGCCCGAATTAGTGGCCATTGGTGATGAAATGAAGGCACATAAAGCAAGGCATGCATACACAATGCATTGGCCATCAAAGAGGCCAAAGAGCATAACTCTCAAGAGTGCTCAATGAGTGATAGGAGTGGAAGTGTAACAACACTAAGTGCACTGAAATGAAGCAAGAAATGATGCCAAATCATTCAAACAACATAAGTAAATCATGCTAGCAAAGAGAAACTCAAAGGAGGCATGCCATACATGGCATAAATGCATGAACTAAGCATGGACAGAGCTCAAGTAGGTCACAACAAGGACCAAAACATGCTGAGAAGAGGGCTCGAAGGCCTAGGCATGCAAGCATACGAGCTAAGGCCATAACAAGGCCATAATGCATAACCCTTAAAAGCATTTAAAGCATGAATGAAGTGGGAACATAAGCATACTAAGAGCGCTGAAATGTCATGTTAAGTAATGCCAAATCATATACACAACACAAATGAAGCATGCGATGGTGCTCAAAGCTTGAGGCAAGCAAGAGCATTTGTACTACAAGTATACAAAACATGAAGCATGTGACCAAGGCAACCCAAATCAATCCTAGAACATGTTAAAATGAGTCTAAAACATGTATGGAAGTAGGCCGAAATATGCTAGCATGAAGGGCATGAAACATGGTGAATGCAAGGCAAATAAGGTAGGTTACACTACACCTATTAAGACCAAGCATGGGATGACTTAAGTAACAAAAATCAGAGTTATATCATGGCATAATAACCCCAAATAAACACTGAAATGGTGGCTCGCAAGCAAAGGCATGAAGGCATACGCAATGGTTCATGTTAAGGCATAAAGGGGCAAACCCTCCAAAGCATGGAATAAGTGAAAGATGCAAGTATATGGCCACACTACATGGACTGAAATCACATAATAAATGAAGCCAAATCATTCAAATAAGCCAAGTAGAGCATGCTAGTGGACTCAATACACAAAGCTAACAAGCTAGATTGAACCAAGGCTATACAAAGCAAGTCATGCATGGCCAAAACCACCAAAATCAGAGCTAAAGCATGTTAAAACGTGAACAAAAGCTTCTCAGAGCTAAGCCAAAAGCATGCTAAAATGACATGTTACAACATGATGCATGTTAGGCTATTTTATAGGATTGCACTACAAGTGCAAGGAGCATGCAAAGGATAACCAAACCAAACCAAAATAGAGTCATGACATGGCAAAACATCACCAAAAACATGCTGAAATAGAAAGAAAACAAGTTAGAATGACATGCTACTTCATAAAGCATACAAAGCTAGTTTGTGTGATTTACACTACAAGTGTATTAACCATGCATGGAGTGACCAAAGCAAGTAAAGAAAGTGGCATGCCTCAGCAAAATAACCACAAATACTAGCTAAGAACAAGCTAACACAAGCTCAACAAAGGTGCACAAACATGAGGCATATTAAGGCATGTATAGAAGATGCAAGAAGAGGGGATGGCCCTCTCCTTCTTAGGACCTTAAAACACCATCCCCACCACTGAAATCCCCTTGGATTTCAGTGGTGAGAAGGACAATACAAGGTGGTCCCGAAGCTCACAAAAAAGGCTCGAAAATAAGGCCAAACAAGGCCTAAGAGGAGGTAAACAACCCCAAACACAAAAGTGATCTTAAACAAACTTTTTAAGCATGCAAAAACAGAGCGTTTATCAGTTATGAGCTAAGCTTAAAATAGCATGCAAGATAGGCTAAAAGCTTAAGCAAGAAAGGGAGATTTAAAGGTCAAAAGCTCACCCTTAAAGACCCTTTTTATAACTACAACTTCAGCTGGTTTTTCAAGCTCAAGGCAATCCAAGAATACAAAAATCAGCCCCTAAGAACCTCAGTAGCAAAAGGATGGTGTTTGAGTGTGTGTTTGTGTGTTAAAGTAAGACAAATCTACACTTTTGAACACAAAAATGAAGAACAAGAGTGATATAGAAACAAAGCTATATATAACTCTCTTGGGAAAAAATTCTAAACCTGGAGGAGGGAGGAGGAGCCTCCCTCTTATAGAAGAGGAAAACCAAAGATTCTTGGAGAAGCTAAGCTTGAATGCCATCCCTCCATATACGGAGGATGGCTCAAATGCTCTCCAGCTGTGCCAGCTGTCCTAAAATATCTCCAACAAGATGCCAAAAAGCAGCCGACCACTCCTGCTTGTAAAAGTGGTCGGCCGACCACTTTGGGTGGTCAACCAGAGCAAAAACTGGTCGGCCATAGGTGGGAGAGGTCAACACACTAAATGCAAGGTGGTGGTGTGGTGGTCGACCAGAAAAGATGTTCCAAAGACCAAGAAAGCCAGTTATCTGACAAGAAAACTAGCTGGAAAAAGGAAAAGTGGTCGGCCAGGAGAAATACTGGTCTCCCACCCTTGTATCACCTTCCAAACAAGGAAAGCAAGGTTTGTACCAAAAACAAACCAAAGCGGATGCAAGACGAGAAATCGGGGGGCAAAGCATGTGGCCAGAAGTCCCGAAAACTAGCTGATGAGCATCAAAAGTGGTATGCAACCACAAAAGTGGTCTTTCGGACCACAGTGTTCCTCTAGGTAGTGGCAACAAGGTGTGGTTCAAAAACCACGCCAAACGGAGAATGTTAAGCGGTCCCAAGACAAGGCGCGCGGCCAAAGGCTCCAAAAATCGGAAACTAGTCTCCAAACGGGAAAAGTGGCCAACGACCATGAAAAGTAGTCTACGAGCATAGAGAGATGGTCTACAAGACCACTCCCTCCCTTCGGGAAGGAAAAACAAGACTTGGTCCGCAAACTGAGTCAAAGCACAAAGAGTTCAGATGTCTGGAGGCAAGGCTCTCTGCCAAAACTCCGAAACCTCTAAACGAGCACAACATGCACCATCACCGAGCGCTCAATCGATGACGACTGAGTCTTAAGGTCGGTCAAAAATGGGGTGTCTACAATATCCCATTCTCGAATGGCCACACTTGCCACACTACTCACTGATTTCCGACTCAACGTATCGGCCACTACATTGGCCTTCCCTGGATGATAGTGTAACTCAGGGGTGAGCAGTGGATATACCGATCCGCCAAAACCAACCGAACCGATCCGCCGCATTTTGGACGGATGCGTAATGACGAGCGGGCAGTTGCAGATTGATTTTCTCCAATCCGCCAATCTGGCGGACAGATGACGGATTTGAGATTCCTTTGGTTGCAACTGAACCGTCAAACTGCGAACACCCCTAGTAATTTATAAGACTTTTTGTTTTTTGTTTGTTTAAATATTCTGTTTGTGTTTTCAATTGAAAAAGAGTTTAAATATTCTGTTGAAAAAAAGTTTTCAACTTGAATATCTTTTTTGAATTGAAAAAAATAACGTATTATTTATCTATATTTTTTTCATTTTTAAATCTATCTCTTAAAATAATAAATAGAAAATAAGATATATGCTGGTTGGTTTTTGTTTTCAAAAACAGATATAGATGTAACAATACAGAGACATGCAATCTCTACTACTGCTCTGTTCATGATTTTGGTGGTTTGAATTGTTTTTATATTTTAAGAACCACAGATTGTAATACTTTATGTGGATGAGGCATGCTATGATTGTAGTATGTGGATGAGGCAGGCAGTGATTGTGATATTCTAAAGTTTTAAACTTTCTTGCTTTGGATGAGACATGCAGTGATTGTAATATTTTTTTAAGTCATTAACTGTAATACTTTCTTCTTCTTTTTTTGAGGAAGTGCACAAGTTGAATTATGTTGAAAATTTATAAAATTTTAAACCGCCAAACCGATTCGCATCCATCCGCCAAACCGCCAATCCGCTCAATCCACATCCGCTGGATTGGCAGACGAATGCGGATTGATTTTCTCCAATCCGCCAAGTTGGCGAACGAATGACGAATTGGAGGTTTCGTAGCCGCAACTAACCCATGCCCACCCGTAGTGTAACTCAAAGTCATAATCCTCTATAAATTCCATCCATCTCCGTTAGTGTAAATTCAAATCTTTTTGGGAAAATAATATTTTAGACTTTTATAATCGGAGAAAACATCAAACTTCTCGCCATACAAATAATGCCTCCAAATCTTCAAAGAAAAAATTACTACCGCTAACTCTAAATCATGGGTGGGGTAGCTCTTCTTATGAGTTTTCAATTGTCGTGAATCATAAGCCACAACTCTTCTTTCTTGCATCAACACACAACCAAGCCTATCCCGGGACACATCACAATAAACGGTATAACCCAAGCCCCCTTTCTAGAATTATCAAAATCGGTGCGCTGGTCAACCTAGTCTTAAGTTCTTGGAATGACTTCTCACAAGTCTCGTTCCATACAAATTTGACACCCTTCCTTGTCAACCTGGTCAGAGGCGCGGCTAGTTTAGAGAAGTCCCTTTATGAAACGACGATAATATCCAGCTAACCCTAGGAAACTTTGGATCTCAAAAACATTTTTTGGTTGTTCTCAATCTTGTACGCTATCTATCTTAAAAGAATCTACAATTACTCCTTCTCCTGACACAACATGCCCCAAAAATTGCACTTCAGTCAGCCAAAACTCGCATTTCTCAAATTTAGCATACAATTGGTGCACCTAAGAGAGTCAAACACTATTCGCAAATGTTCCTCATGTTCTTCCTTGGAGGTCAAATAAATCAAGATATTGTCCACAAAGACGACCACGAAATGGTCTAAAAATTCACGGAAGACTCGATTCATCAAGTCCATAAAGGAAGCAGGAGCATTGGTTAAACTAAAAGGCATTACTAGGAATTCATAGTGGCTATAACGCATGCGAAAAGTCATTTTCTGGATATCCTCCTCCCTAACCCTCAACTGATCATACCTCGATCTCAAGTCTATCTTCGAAAAGCAACGAGACCCTCTAATTTGGTCAAATAAGTCATATGTTCTGGGTAAAGGATACTTGTTCTTAACAGTAACTCGATTCAATTTGCGGTAATCAATACATAACCACAATGACCCATCCTTCTTCTCCGCAAAGAGAGTCGGCGCTCCCCAATGTGATGTACTAGGGTGAATAAAACCCTTGTCTAAAAGTTCTTGGAGTTGGATCTTCAACTCATGTACTCAGTGAGTGCAAATCTATATAGTGCAAAGGAAATTGGCATTGTGCTAAGTACTAAGTCAATAGAGAATTCTATCTCCTGATGAGGTGGAAACCCAGTAAGATCTTCAGGGAAAACATTAAGGTATTCATAAACTACCTTTGGTAAATCACTCCGACCCATGCTACCAACATTGGCTAAGGCAAAGGCAAAGAGAAAACTAAGTCCTCCCCGACTCTTAAAGTCAAACAATGGTGGAAACGATCTGTCACCCTGATCACACAGAAAATAGAAACAATCCCCAATCAGCGTACACATAGACACTCGGTAATGCTGACAATCTATAGTAGCCTAGAAGTGTGTTAACCAATCCATACCCAAAATAGTGTCAAATGAGTGCATGTCTAAGATGATGAAGTCAAAAGAGAGTCGGCGATCTATGACCTCAATCTTGCAAGAGCGGCACACTCGCCCTAATGCCACTTTACCCCCAATCGGTGACTCAACCCACAAAGGAGACTCCAACCGATCAATCTCTAACCCGAATGCAGAAGCAAAAATAGAAGATGTAAATGAATATAACGCAGCCGTATCAATCAACACACTAGCCAAAGAATTGAACACAACAAAATTACCTCTCACAACAAAGGATCCTGGCAACTGCTCTGGCATTGTAACAACATACATACGCCCTTGTGGCCTCTGATTAACCTGCTAATCTCTCGAAGCATAGGCCTGCTACACTGATTGAGTCGAGGTGGCTCCCTGATTTGCTCATGAGGTCAAAACTAAATGAGCCTGCTAATGGCTCTGAGTTTGCCTCGACCTTGATGTGCTAGATGCACCTCCCAACTGCGGGCAAGCTCTTCTTATAACACCACAAAATAATTACAATAAAACCATCGATTACATTAATAAATAATCATACCATTTTGGATACAATGTCCCTTCCATTTCATATGATCTCATTGTACAAAAGATAACACATACAGTTATACATTCACAAGTCCTCACCCTTAATCTATGGCATGTGTTACAAGTTAAAGACATGAAATAAGAGTTAGAACAATTAAGAAATGCCCTAAAGATTTACAACTTTCCAAGACAATGCTTGGTTACACAAAAGTGAGTTTTAAACTCAACACAGGTAAAGCCCTAGGCTTGTATAAAAATAATTACAACAAGTAAAAAAATTAAATGAAATTCTCACTCCAAGTCCTCCCAAGCTATTACTTTGGTAGAGACATGTCATTAGCACCTGAAAATAGTTTTCCACGTAGGGTGAGCCAAAGCCCAATAGAGATATTACAACACAGTTTATGAATCTTAATAAAAATATAAGGTGGATACATATGCAATGCTCATGCCAAAATATTTTCATTTTCTCTTTTCAAAACCGTGCAATGCCAAGTTTCCTTTACAATACATGATATCATTTCCTTTACAATAGAAAACAAGGCATTGAATACAACACTGTGAATCTCTAAGACATGTATACAAGTAGACTATACAAGTACTACCAATTTGTCATTTTTACTGCTCGACACCTATCCGCCCGGGTTTTTGGTCTTTCACCAAAGACACACAAGCCAACTTAATATCACAACTACACTCCTACCCAGATTCACCAAAGTATTCATTCATTTTTTTTTTCTCAAAATAACAACATTTCCAAATGTGTTGAATATGCAACAATGCTCAATGCAATGGATGAGAAAATAGTTTCAATTCCCCTAATTCTCATGCAATTTCTACAACAATCATAGCTATCCTCCACCGATAGCCCAAAACAGATATCTCTAAATAGATAATTAATTTTCATAAAGATAAACTTTCCAAATTCTAAGATGTGAGTGATAATACATATCCAACACCACCATCCTCGTCAAACCAATCCAATTTCACATTTCCAACACCAATTCCATAATTGATATAAAATCAACATTTGATATAATTAGGGCAAAACCTCCTTATTTTCCAAATCAATTCTACATATCAAAACCAACCATTTTATCACAACTCAACCTCATTTCCAATTCCACAACCATTTTCCATAAACCATTAGAAAACCATCTAAGTTAAAAATTACAAGAAAGTGTGGAGAAATCCCTACCTCAAGGCTAGAAGACCAAGAAGAGAGAGAAGAAACCACAATGAAGCTAAAATACAACTTTGCTCCGATTAGAACGAAGCTCTCGCCATGCTTTACCTTTTTATCAAAGGGACATGGATGAAAAACTCAACGGATCTAGGTGTATTTGTAGAGAGAATGTGAGTTTTAGAGAGAGGGAGTCTCAACTTAGGGTTTTGAAATGTTTAGAGAGAGAGAGAGAGAGATAAAAAAATGATGTAAAAAGTGACTTTTACGGATTGATATACACGCAGACCGCTTGAGCTAAGAAGTGTTGCTTGAGCGTACATGCACAAAATCTGAGATCGTTTAAACGCAGGAATTACCACTCAAGCGAAGAATACAAACTCCTAGAAGTTTTACAGACAGAGGACCATCGCTCGAGCTTAACAAAGGCTGCTTGAGCCAACATTGCTCAAGTGCAAGAGTGACCGCTCGAGCGTAGAATGCCAATTTCCAGTACTTTTACAAGCCTGCAAAAGTACTAAGAGTTCTCAAAGACCGCTCGAGCACAAGCAAAAATCTAGCATGAACCAATTCGAGAAACTAACTCCCAACCTGTTCCAAACACAACCAAGACACTCCAATATCCAAACTCAATAAGGAATAAGGAAAAATAAGACGTGAACAATCGTATAAGATAATAAAACTCAAATCCAGAATATCAAACAGGTGGGGTCCAAACCAGAATCGCTATACTCCTCAAATGCCCCAACTGACCACACTGAAAGCATGTAGGTCATTGTCCCATACTCTGGGACTGACTTTGAGATCGGTTAGGTGGTGGTGGTGGTAACATCTACTACCCTCCTCTCTTCTATGAGCAAGCACTAGCCTTGTGACCCTATTGGCCACACTTGATACAAGTAAAGCTACCCTAAGCATTCCTCCCTAGGCCAACACTCAACAATGGAAATGTAGATCTAGTCTGCTGTGATTGGGGCTGGGATGAAAAAGTGCCCCTATGCTTCTTACTAAGTCTGAAGTCCCTCTACGACTCTTAACCCCTAAACCTCAAACCCCAAAGTCTCTCCTCCTTGGCCTGTACTGTAATCTCTACATGTGCCACCATCTCCACAAGATGGTCATAGTTTCGGATCATGTTTTTGGCAACCTTGAACAATATTTTGGTTCTCAATCTCTTCTCGAATTCTATGCAACGATGCTCTTCCGTTGCCACCAACTTCGGTGCAAACTGGGACAAGCTAGTGAAGATCGCTTAAAACTCGACCACTAACAAGTTTAGTTGTTTGAGGTTTTGAAATTCTTGCCTTAGTCTCTCCCTAGCTGTGGGAGGTAGGTATTTGTCTTGGAAAGTGATGACAAAAGCTTCCCATGTCGGCTCCACTCTGCCTTTGGCGTACTTCCACCATTAGCCCGCATCCCCTTTAAGGTAGTAACTTGCCAGAGTCACCTTTAGTTCACTATCATCAATGTGAAGCATCTCAAATGTCTTCACTGTTTGCTCGAGCCACACATCTGCTTTCTCGAGCTTCGGGCCACTGTGAAACTCATCAGGCTTGGCCCGCAAAAATTCTCTAGTAAGAAAACCCACCCTTGTCTCGACGGTGTTCTCTTGGGTTTGGTTCTCTGCCCTCAAGATGTTCATTGACTTTCCCATAGCCCCCGCTATCTCTCGAGATAGGACACCCATTGAGGCTTGACCCACTTGCTCTAGGACTCCCACTCGCCCCATTTGCTCAGCCACATTAGCTTGGCCTGCTTGTTCGGCCGCATTAGTTTGGCTGAACCCTTTCTCTTGCAGTGAAACCTCATGGCCCAGTACTTCATGAACATCTGGGCAAGGCCTAGCACGCCTCCCGCCTCTACCACCACGTGCCTGACCTCTTTCTGACATCCTAATTAAGGATAAGAGTAAACAATTTAACACACAATTGCATATGTGCTCGCAACTTATCTCATACGTCCTATCACAACAATTTTATACATTCTCATTTCATGTAAACACTTAGTTTCACTCCACATAAGCACTTAATCACGTAAACACATATGGATTACTCTTTTAGGATTAAATTTGACCCATGAAATACCGAGAATTCTTATTAGAATGAGCATCGATCAGGTGCCCTTCTAACAAGGCCTCGAGGAATTTAATAAGCGCAAAGAACATCCCAAAACTTCAATCTCATACCCATCTAGTCATATAAACATGTTATCACATAACACCTAAAACATGAAACATCTCCTAGTTAAGCGAAATGAACCCATTGTGAAAAACGACCACTTCCCGCGAGCTCCAAGTATTCAAACCCGGTAGCTCTGATACCAAGTTGTAACGCCTCAAAGAAATTAACCCAAATAGACTCATTATCTTCCAACAACATAATCTTATTCTTCAAAATTAATAGCTTACATTGATTAAACTATGCGGAATATAAAGCCTCAACGCTAACATCATCACCAATCTCTAACATTTGTGATCATTAAACTCTAGAGATTTACAAAAAGTGCTCCACATGCAATTATACATTCAACATTCCTAGAATATAAATTTATAGTATGTGGCACAATAAGTTAAGTACAAATTAATGTCCTCAAGGGCT